CACCAGGGAGGGCCAGCCTGCCCGCTTTTAATCATATCCTCTGCACCCTCCAGGACAAGCCACCGTCTTTCCTGGAGCACTACCATGAATGCCAGTTGGCATCACCTACTTCTCCTCTTGTCCCCATTCTTCATGTAGCAGCCAGAGTGATTCCCATAAAAGACATCATATGGCCCTCCCTGGTGGTGCAGTGGGTTAAAGCACAGCATGAAGAAGCTAACAGCCACTTCTGGATGAGTTCGATCCCCGCCTGCCCCGGAGGTGACCACATGGCGTGGCAGACCTCTCCTGAACCGCCCGCTGCTCCCCTCAGCAATGTACTTCCATGATCTGCCTGTTCTGCTCCCCACTCTGTCCCTGGTGAATCCTGTCACCACCCCTGCACCTCTGGCCTGTACCCTAGTTCTGTATACATAAATAAGTAAATCTTAAAAAAAAAAAAGATATCATATCACTCCGCTGTTTATCAATATCCTTTTCCTGATTGCTAGTCCTGTCTGGCTTTCTGCCTGCCACTCTCTCACTCAGAAGTCTTATTTTTTTTTATCATATATTCCTTTAAAGTGAGTTTAAAACTATGTAAAATGATATAGTCCATTGTATACTTTCATGCTGGCATCTGAAAGGGCTTATGATACATTCAAATAATTGCCATGGATATAATTCTACCATAGAACATGCATTACACATACCTTACACATTTTCCAACAAAACTTTGGAGTGGCACGTAGAGCTCTCGCTATTCTAATTCATCTTATGAGAGAGACCCACTACATAACCTAGTAAACTGAGTCAGTTCTCATTGACAAAACAGCTCAACCAATCTGATTCACTATTAGATCTCAAGCAAAATAAACCTAGCACATTGCATTATGAACATCATCTCATTTGTGAATTTTAATGTGAAAACAGGAAACATGATCATAGATGAGTGAATGGAAAAGAAAGGAAGGAAAGAGGGAGGGAGGAAGAGGAGGAGAGAGGGGAAAAAGGAAGGAGGAACACAAATGGCTGGAAAGAGGAAGAAATATTAGAGCACTGAGGTTTGTCTTGGTTCTGAATGAAATAAGATGCAGTCATCTAGAATACTTCTCTCTGACTCTCTCCTGGCTTCCAAGAAATCTTCCCTTAGCATTTATGAATTCTTATTGGTTCCTTTGGACCCCAAAGGATTCAGGCTCCTAGATCAACACATGATCAAGATTCATCATGGAGTATTAAAAAAAAAAAATCCCATTGCATCAACTGAAATAAGTCACATGGAGAAAGATTTCACACATACATGGTAGATAAGGAAATAAAACAAATGAGAAAAGCAAAAACAAAAAAACAAAACCAAAAACACCCAAATCCTTAGACTGTAAGAACAAAATAGGAGGGAAGGAGAAGGGGGTGGAAAATTGGGTAAAAGGAATCACTGTGTAGTAATGGATGGTTAAGAGTAACTTTTGATGACTAATATAATGGATTTGATACAAATGTTGCTATATACAGCCAAATATTTAAAACTCAGATAATGTCATAAACGATGTTACTTCAATATCAAAATCAGAAGAAAAAAAAAAAAGATTTGGCATGGTGAAAGGTTTGCCTTTCTTCTGTAAATTGGGAAAAGGGCCAAGAGAACTAAATCAAACATCTGTAAGAAAGAATAAGAGGGCCTTCCCGGATAGCATGATGGATTAAAGCGCAATACTATATAAAGCCTGCTGCAGCTGCTCAGCTCAAGTTCCACCCCAGCCAGAGAGCTGACCCACATGGCTTGCAGACCTCTCCTATCTCACCTGTGCCCCCCTCAGCAGTATACTTTGTTGGTCTGCCTGTTCTGCTCCCCACTATCTCTGATGAATTCTCTCCCCATCCCTGTACTTCTGGCTTGTACCCCAGTTCTGTATGCATAAATAAATAAATCTTAAAAAAAAAGAAAGAAAGAAAGAAAGAGGAAGACGCTGATGGAAGGGGGGAGGGGGATTGAGAAGCTGATATCCTAAAATTGATTCCTTGTCAACTAGTCAGTTGCAGGTAACTTATGGAAAGCCTTTGGGTCCCTCTAGAGACCCCCTCTAACACCTCCAGTTTGAAACCTGTTACTTTAGCTCTTTCTCTTTGTTTTATACACTAGGTTATAGGTCAAATTCATTTCAGCTTTAGGATCTTTGCAGTGGCTGTTCTCTTGACTTGGGCTCTTGGCTTAAAGATCTTTGCACGATGAAACCATCAGTCAGATGAAACCTCTGCTTCTCAAATGGTTGTCTGTGACTATAAAAGCACTTTCTCTCGGGTACTTTCTGACTTTTCACTATCTAAAATTACTTTATTTGTTTATTGTCCATTTATGGTCTGTCCCTTTAGCCGCTACTGATATGTAAGTCCCATGAGAAACAAGTCTGGTTCATTTTATTTGCCTTTAAATCTCCTGGGCCAAGTGGAATGTTTAACTTAACCTGTATCTCATGCTGTGTAACAAGTTACTTATGCATTTAGAAGTGTAAGTAAACAAGCATTTATCATGTCACAGCTTCTGTAGGTCAGACATTCAGAAGCAGCTTAGTTGGAAGGTTCCAATTCTGGCTCTCTGGTGAAGTTCTAGTTACAATATCAGGTGGTGCTGCATTATCTGAAAGCTTGACAGGGCTGGAGGATCCACTTTCAAGATGACCACTCAGGCCACTTTGTCAGGAAACCCCAGTAGCAATTGGTAGGCGGACCGACTGCCTTGTAACATTGGTCTTTCCACAGAGCTATTTGGGAGTCCTCAAGACAAGACAATATCTTACTTCAGAGTGAGCAATTTAAGTGCTAGCAAGATAGAAGTCACAACATCTTCTACAACACATCCTAGGAAGTCACATTCTGTCATTTCCACAATATTCTGATGGTTACACAAATCAGTCCCTATTCATGATGGAAAGCTATCACACAAGAGTGTAAATGTCATCATCTTCGAGACCGTCACATACATAATGGTTGTCCAATAAACAGGTTTTCAACTAATGAACTAAGTTTGAATTTTATAATTCAGCTACTAGAGAGCCACCTGATATCTATGTTCTAGAAGAATCGCTTATCCTTTCCTACCTGGGACAGTCTACCAGGTATATCCTACTTCATTTCTCATTAGCAGCACTTCAGAAAACCTGGGCCTTACAGTTGCTGTACCTATCAGGATACTAATCCCATAAACCGGAAGAGGGGTCTGGGGAGGGATATGCTGAAGCTGGCAATCCTTCTGGTGAAATTTTATTTTTTGATCTGAGTGCTAAGTGCACAGATATGTGTAAATTTCCCTATCGTTTTCATGTCTTCAATATTTCCAAATATATTCTAAAAAGAGAAGGGGAAGCAGATAGAATCTGAGAGCAAGTGACAGGTTCTTATTTTGACTGCATAAACTTTTTCAATGAATACTGGCTGCAGGGTGGGGGGGGGAGAAGTAGGTAACATAGTAGTATTTGTTGAGCTGATATTTATACAGCTGATATTTATTGAGTCCATATTATATGTCCTAAACAGTTTTCTTATTTTTTAAGAAAGATTTATTGATGCATACAAGAACTGGGATACAGTCCAGAAGAGAGGGGATAAGAGGATTCCCCAGAAGACTGAGTGGGAAGCAGAACAGGTAGATCACTGAAATATACTGCTAAGGGGAGCAGTGGGGGAGGCAGGCAAGGTCTGCTGTGCCATGTGGACTAGCTCCCCAGCTGGGGATTGAACTGGTGCTGCAGTGGCTTCAGATAGCTTTACGGTGCTGCACTTCAACCCACTGAGCCACCAGGGAGGACCTGTCCTAGGCAGTTTTAAATAATTTATTTCCATATACTAACTTACTTCATCCCTCCAACAGGTACTAATACTAACTCAGTTTTTTTTTAAGAGTTATTTATTTATTCATACAGAACTGGGGTACAAGCCAGAGGTGCAGGGGCGGTGAAAGAGTGGCAGAACAGAAAGATCGACGAAGTGCACTGCTGAGGGGTGCAGAGGGCGAGTCAGGAGAGGTCTGCTGAGCCATGTGGGTCACCTTCAGGGCGGGGATCAAACTCCCACTGAAGCAGTTGCCGCCAGCGTCCTAACCCCGTTGCGCCACCAGGGAAGGCCCTAACCCAGTTTTAATTAGCGATGACAACATTTTTAAAAGTCAGATTACGAAATTTATCTAAACTGATGTGGTTTATAAAGGGGAAAAACTGGATTTGAATAAAGCTTTCTGGTTTCAGGACAGGTATCTGTAAAAACCACCACCCCTGAGAGGTGAGTCATCTTTGCAGCTGCGAGTGAAAATCCTTTGGGCATCTCCTGCAAACTGCCGGTAAATTCTTTAAACATTTGCATCCGGTTAGACAGGGACTTCAAAATAGCTTTTTCAGGACTGTTATAGTGAAAGGGATGGTGGAACTGGCAGATTTTTAAAGAAGTGTTTGCTACATGGGTTTGACTCTGCTGAACTGGTTGAAGATGAAAGCCAAGGTGTTCTCGGCGCTTCTACCTAGTCCTGAAATCTCCTTTGAAAGGGAAGGTGGAGCGGGGGAGGGATTTAGGAATTCCAGTAGGTCCGTGATTGGAGTTTTCTTTCGCTAGGACAGGGAAGTTACAAATACACAGCTTGAGATTTCTACTGTCGCGGCTACACCCTCCTCCCCACCCCCCAAAACACACACACACACACACACACACACACACACACACACACACACACTCTTACTCTTTCACTACAACTCAGGATTTCAGGATTGCAGGGTGAGGGATTCCCAGGCGGGAAACCCAAAGGAGCTAGAGCTAAGCCGAGCCCCCAGCGCTTAAGTTGACAACCTAACTTGCTCTCCGCAAGCAACGCAGCTTTGGAGGATCGCCGCCAGGGGGCGCGCATGTACGGCTCGGCCGCTCTGTCTCCTGCCACCGCCGCTCCCCGCCCTTCACCCTCGAGGCGAGCGAGAAGGCGGAAGTAGAACGTTCGCGGCTGGGGCTCGGGCTCCCTACGGCCCCGGGACGCGGTGGCTGCGGCCTTGGGGCCCGGAGACTGACATCGGAGCCGCCTCGGCGCAGATCGCGCGCGGTGCGCTATCTCTTCGGGCGCGTTGGCTGAGCGGGGTCCTGCCCGGGAGGAGTCAGCGGCCAGTGCACCAGAGCGGTGAGTTCTTCAGCCGTCCACCGGCGACCGCGGCCTCCCTTCCTATAGGCTGGAGACGCAGCCCCTTTTTTTTTCCCCAGAGTTTGGGGACGCAGCCCCCTGTTTTCTGGCTTCCCACTATCTGGGGCGCCGCTCCCTCCCCTCTGCTCCACTGGCCCTGGGGCTACCCCCCACCCTCCGCGGAAATCCCGTGTCAGCTTCCCCAGCCTCACTTCCCCTCTCCCCGGTTCCCCGCTTCCCAGAAAAGGAAATTGCCTCCTGGATTTTCCCCGTCCCTCAGAGGTGTTAGAAACTTTTTTAAAAATCCCTTATAAATTTCTACCGATGTCCTCTGGCACTGTCAAGAGAAAATTATTTTGGGGTTCCCTGTTGAACTCGATCGAGGTCCCAAGCAGCAGGTTCAAAAAATAAAAAAAGTTGAGATGAAACGGGACGTTTCCTCCCGCCGGTACACTCGGGAGTCAAGCGATGGTTCCAGACCGTCGGTGATAAAGCTGTTCCTAGTATTTGGCTTTAGGGGAACTCCAGCTGAGAGTCAGGAGTGACTTGAACGTGAACAGAAAGCACCTAAATTATTAGCAGCTCGAATGGGTAGCATTTGGCGTGTTTCTTGGGAGAACAAGTTACTGTCTTGCCACTCAGAAAGGAGAAAAAACTGTCAAGAAAGTCTTAAGTGTTGGCCTCTTGAACCTGATCGCTGGCATTTTATCCATTCCTCTCTGATGACCAGGGACGGTGGAAGGGACTGTTCTGATCTTAAGTTTGGGGTGGGGTGAGGATCGTCTGGCCTCTTTTCGTGACTCAAGGAAGAAATGTGTTTCAGGCGCTTGTTGCCCATGTGATGAGCACAAGGATCACAGAGGACATTCAGACCTCCGAGTCACCCCCTCCACACACGTCCTAGTACTTAATACTTGTAGCTTGAGGTCTTTTTTGTGATAAAGTGGGATATGTAGTGCTCATAAGTATTCGAGTGCTTGGCTTTGAAAGAAGTTTTTCAAATCTCTACCTTCTAAAGAACACCATAGTACCTTGGAGGAAGAATGCCCCTTAAATTTGGATTCAGAACAGAGTATGCCAATGTTTTGCAGCACCTCTGCGCTGTTGGGGATGCAGGTTTTGGCATCTATTAAATAGATTAAAATATAGTAAGGAGATTTTAAGGAGTTGGCAAATAGGTCTTGTTCCTGAAGCAGATAGCAAATTAAAGATAATTTCTCTGTACATATTTTGGTGTCCATGGTTTAACTTCATATGTGTTATACATTTAAACAGAACTTGACTAAAGTTAGCATATTTCTCTCATTAACTCTGTTAATCTTAGAGGAGCCAATGTTTGTACATACCTTATTCTCTGCTCCCTCAAAACACTTAACAATATCTTCTTTGAATTATAATATATACCCAGGTACTACTTTATGGGTGTAAGCCATGATTTTTGACAAGACAATCCTCAGTATTTATTAATTTTGCAATCAAAATAACAAGCTGGCAATGGTTACACCCTTCAGTATGTAAAGAAGTGCTTACCAGATTCACAACCATGCAAAGGGAATTGCAACATGAAGCTCTTAATCTATAAGGTAAGGCAGGATTTAAACTTTGTTCCATCCCTTTTTATTAATTCACTAAAAAGTCACAAATTATGCATGTTAGGTGCAAAGTGTCAAAGTTACCGCTGCCTCAAAACACTTTTTGTCCACATGAGTGGTAATGAAAGATTGCTGTTTTTTATTTCTCAAAAATATTAAAACTAAGCAAATAAAAGATGAATTTTCTCTACTCATTTTTTTGAATTCTGTCAACCTGGCATAATAACACTTGACAGCTCCTGTTTATTAGAAACTATGGTTTGCCTCTTAGTCTAGTATAGTAAGTAAAGGCAAACATTTTTAGATGCAACTTCATCCGAAATGACAGAATAGCACAAGTGCATAGGTGCTGGGCTAAGGTAGATGTGGGTTCATCCCACTTTTGTTACATATTAGCTTTGTTTTAAGTTCTTTGGTAAGTGGGGGCAATAAAACTAGTAAATAAAATCTACTACCTAAAGCTGCACACAGTAACCCATTACTTCTTCCAGGCACAGTTCTGCGTGCTTTGTCTTATTAACATATTTAATCCTCTCAGTAATTTAAGATGTGGATTCTATCATTATCTTCATTTCCAGATGAGGAAACTGAAGCACAGAAAAGTCGTATAACTTGCCCAGGTCATATACCAAGAGATGGAGAAGAGTTAAACCCAGCTCATCATTACCAAGCGCCTAAGCTCTGCACCACTTCCTGGTACTGCGTCTCCAGCCAGAGCAGTGCCTCACCCTCTGTAGGTACTCATCAAAGACAGGCAGACTCTGAGAATTAAACGATGTCTATAGTGGTAAAAAAAAGATTGAGGGTTGTCCTCTTACTCTGCTGTCTGGTATGGCGGGAGCCAGATTTCTTATATAAAAGCGGGAAGGGCTGGGGGGTAACTGTCTACTGTATTGCGAAGGTTAATTCTCGAACTACCTATAGCATGTATTAGGAATTTCCCTCGGGTGTAATTACCTGCCGCAGAGACCTAGTTTCATAGGCTGTGGATTACTTTCAGTCAATAGATCCTCATAAATACAAAAACTTTTCTCTAAATACTAATACAACTAATATGACTAAATGGTGATTTACATGCATAAGCTATAATGTGAGTGTATGTGTGTTAAGGCATTTTTTTTTTCTTGCTGTTTTTACAGAGCAATTGATAATCACGTTACTATGAGTCTGCTAAACTGTGAAAACAGTTGTGGATCCAGCCAGTCCGAAAGTGACTGCTGTGCTGCCATGACCAGCTCCTGCAGTGCGGCCGCAAAAGATGACAGTGTGAGCGGGACTGCCAGCACAGGGAACCTCTCCAGCTCTTTTATGGAAGAGATCCAGGGATATGATGTGGAGTTTGACCCACCTCTGGAAAGCAAGTATGAATGCCCCATTTGCTTGATGGCGCTGCGGGAAGCCGTGCAGACACCATGCGGCCATCGCTTCTGCAAAGCCTGCATCATCAAATCAATCAGGTGAGTGAGCACAAGGGGAAACTGTCCTGTAACAGAATCAAATACAGAAAACATGACTACCGAGCACACAGGACATCCCATGTGTAGTAGTATATGTAACAGACGACTTTGGCGAAAAGAATACTAGACAGAAAATTGAGAAATTTAGATCCTTATTCTCATTCCTACTGTGGTAAATTCTACCTCTTCCCATTCCCTGACCCTCAGATCAATCAATCAATAACTACTTCTATTTGAAGCAATTCTAGGGCAGATGTGGGGTTGGGGGAGGCGGGGTTATGAGTCTCTATACTTTAGGGATATAATACAAATGCTACTAGAATATGATTCTGACCCATACAAAGAATGCTGACTCTTTAAATGATCAGTTATTCTGATTTCCCCCACAATAAAATCTATTACCAGAAGTCTGTGGGTATTGTAAACTAGAAGTCTTAAAATATTAATTGATGACTCTGCCTTCAGAATATATTAAAAATCTAATCCCTTTTCAGTTCTTGCTACCTCCCTGCTTCTGGCCTTTCCTTCTTCCAGGCTGTTCTTAACTACAGCAGCAGGTGAACTTGGTAAAATAAGTAAGATGATGTCATCTCTGTGCAGAACATTACAGCAGGTCATGAGGAGAAGCAGCCAAAGTCCTTTCCGAGGCCCTGTATGAGAGGGTCATAGTTCATATTCTTCTCTCTCTTCCTGACTGCCTGCTTTCTCTCAGTCCACTCATTACTGTGCCTTTAACATGTCGCCCACACTTCTGCTTTGGGCTTTAGCTAACTCTTACTCAGCTGACTGTTTGACCAGTACCCTTTACTCCAGTGCGTTTCACAGGACCTGGCTATTCTGCGTATACAACAGTATACTCCCCCTAAACTCCCAGTCTCTTTTCCTACTCCTCTTCTTTTCCTTAGCACTTTTCACCATCTAAAATATCAGATAACTTGTGTGCTCATTGCCCAACTGGAAGGTAAGCCTTTTAAGAGCAAGGCTTGAGAATCTACTTTTATTTTTTGGTGTTTCTTAAACTGCAGGAAGAGTGCCTACCACACAGCAGGTTCTCTGTAAGTCACAAGTGAGTGAAGGTACATCATCCTGCAAATGATACACATTCATCTCCTAGGAAATATGTATTTTATTATAATTCAAAAGTAAATGCAAGTATTTTTAGATGACTAAGGAGTTCTATATAGAAAAAAAAGTGGGGAAATGTTAATGTGTGTGTGTTTTTTTTTTTTTTTAAGATTTATTTATTTATGCATATAAGCGCTGGGATGCAGGTCAGAGGTGCGGGGGTAAGAGGTTTCACCAGAGACAAAATGGGAAGCAGAACAGGTGGATTTACTGAAATATACTGCTGAGGGGCACAGTGGGCAAGACAGGAGTGGTCTGCTGGGCCATCAGGGTCACCTCCCTGGCCAGGGATTGAACTTGTGCTGCAGTGGCTGTCGACAGCTTCGTAGTGCTGACACTTAACCCCTTGTATCACCAAGGGGCCCCCAACTTTAAGTTCTTATGTAAATAAGTATTGAATTAAGTTGATGTAATCACTCTTAAGTATATTAAGCTGACTATTCACTAGCCTTGTAATTTTTTTCTTTCAACTTTTAAATTAACTTTTCTGTAAAACCATTTAGAGTAAAACTGTCCATATTCAGAACTTGAGTTTAATTACAAAGGAACGTGTCTCTTGTTTCCATTTTTCGGAAAATTGTGTGCCCCGTGTAGAATTGGCAAGATCGATTGAGGGTCAGTTTTCTCAAATTTCCTGTTATTAACATGAAGGGCACCTTTTTTTTTTTTGGTTAAAATCTATGCTTCAGTCTCAAGTCCCGCAGTTTCTGATAGGTAACCAGTATGGTGCTGGTTGTATCAATTTCATTAAAGACTGTTGATGTTTCATCTGTGTTGCATTGATGGTTTAACAGCATCTAAAAATCTGCTCAAGATATTTATATTGTATTTGGGTAAAGATCTACCATATTATAGATTGTTGATTTTCCTGTAGGTAGAAATGTATGGTATTTTACCAAGTATCATCCATACCCAGGGAGGTAGCTAATTTTTGGCAGTTTTTTAATAGCAAGATATTCACTAAAGTAGTAGGAAAGTGGTCTGAAAAGGAAGTAAAACCCACAAAAGGAAGTCTGAGGCTTCTTTTTTCCTGTCCGCCTCTACAGCTAGAAGTGACCACTTTGACACTAGTGGTATTAAAGGAACAGCTCTGAAACTTCTCATTGGTTAAAGTCATTCATACTCAAAATGCATCTTAACTCTTTTATCTTTTTTCTCACATGATTGCTAGTGCTATGAGCAATGTTTTCTGGTTTACTTTGTAAGATTCCTCTTATTTCTTAAACATCAGTCACAGATTTAGGGATTACATCGCAATATTTTTTTTTTTTTCTTCATGGCTTTCTGTGCTTCTCAGAAATATTTGACTGTAAAAATAGTATTATACCAAAAAAACAAAAAAGGCCTTATGCAAGATGTGAGCGGCCTCATGAAGATTGACACTTACTCATCTGTATTATTTACAAGTTATTTGATGGCAGACCCCATTTTAGCATTCTTTTGCATACTATGGCAACTAGCAGTTTGTTTACACACAGCAAGTACTTAGCAAATGTTTGAGTGACTGATTACTGTTCCTATAGCCTACCAAACCTGTTTGCTCACTCTGTTCACTCACTCTGAGTAAGATTGAGACGTCTTAAAAAGTTACAGAGGAATGACAGATGCCCACACATCTTGGGGTTGGTTTTTCACATCAGAAGATGGGGTAAACCACTGGGGAGCAGGACATAAAGGCCCTTTAATTTCCTGCTACTTTATACCCAATATGTTAAAAAAAAAAAAAAAAGGAAAGCTTTGTTCCCTATGAGCCAGAATTTTGTTATGATTGTCCAGAGTAAACCTTAAAATGTGGTCTCATAGGGGTATTGCTAATTGGTATAATTTTTTTCTTATGACTGTACAAGACAGTAGAGATATGTTGATATTATAACAGCATGTTTAATTCTATCTCACTAGGATCTTGTATAGTATAGAGACTTGCCAGGCTGCCAAAATCCCTTTCCTTTCCTTTCAACTCCTTTTATGCCAGTCAAAGTAAGATTTTATTAATTTCTCTCTTTTTTTTTTTTTTGGTTGAAATCTAGCCCACAAACTAAAGTCTCATAGTTTTTGATGGTAATTAATATAGTATTAGTTATATTCATTTCATAAGAGAATTTTTCATAAAACTATTCATAGAAGGACAGCTTCTTTTAGTGCTATTCTACATTGTGTTTTAGAATTTTCTATAGGAAATAGTAAATGGAATTTTTGTATGTGGTGGGTTGTTTGGATTTTTTGATGTGAATGTTTACATCTGCTAAATGTGTGTTTTTGTTTTGTTTAGAGATGCAGGTCACAAATGTCCAGTTGATAATGAAGTACTGCTGGAAAAGCAACTCTTTCCTGACAACTTTGCAAAACGAGAGATTCTTTCTCTGATGGTGAAATGTCCAAACGAAGGTTGTTTGCATAAGATGGAACTGAGGCACCTTGAGGTATCAATTTTCAAGACAGACACAAAGCAGTTCTAGACAATAGGCACTTTGTTGTGGCATCAGTGTGCTGCCAATACCTTGCATATACTGACTGATAAATTCCTGTGAGTTAGTACCAATCCTTTTATTATTGAATATAAAGTAGAAACCAGAAATTTCTTATCCATCTAGTCCGTCTGCTCCAGTGATAATAAAAAGAAATCATTATTCTTCTGTCAGTTTCTTTGGTAAGTATTATGTTCAGTAAAACTGACAAGCATTTTCAACATAAGTTCACATTTTAGCCTGTAACTTGAGTTCTTTCATTTTGGAAATAAGCAACACATCCACTCTGCCTTGCTATCACCTCAGTACCCTCCTCATGCGTTTTCTGTTTTTCTAAACTGATCAATCAAAAGAATTTGCTTTTAAATTAAATCAACTCTTAGCTGGCTGGGTTTTGCAGGAAATTAAACATTGTTAATGTTATATTTGAAATTAACTGTTTAAGACATACTATCATTTGTCCCCTTAGCTCCTTTTGAAGACGTGTCCTTTTAATCATTAGTAAATTGATAATTAGAAAAAGATGACATCTAACTCCTTTCCCTAACTGGACTTGAGAATTCACATTCTATGTATAAACTTGCAGTTCACAGCCATTACCTGAAAGATGGTGGTACCCTGGCGGGACTAGACAAAACTGGTTCAGTAGCCAGCTCTCTGAAAGAAAAACACATATTCTTAGAAGAGAGTAAGAGCTATCTAAAGGCTTAGCAAGTACTAATGAGGTTTTTTTCCCCTTATTGTAGGATCATCAAGAACATTGTGAATTTGCTCTTATGACTTGTAATGATTGCCAGCGGCCCTTCCCGAAATACCAATACCGTGTTCATTTTCTCAAGGAGTGTCCAAGGAGACAGGTTTCTTGCATAAATTGTGCTATGGCAATGGCATTTGAAGATAAAAAGGCATGTATTAATTTGGGTTTATTAATTTCATGATTTCCTCAGTTTTTTTAATCACATTTGAGGTAGTTAAGCAGAGAGTAAGGATGTCACTCCATTCTGAATCTGTATTAACAGTTGTGGGAAAATTGATTTTTAAGCAAATTTAGTAGACCATTTTAATAAAATAGTGTAGGATCTATATTTGCAAATCTTTCTTAGAAATATACTGCTTGCTACTAATGTAGACCTCCAAGTAACAAACTCTAGGATTTCCTATGGATTTTAATGACCTTGGATTAGAGACAAACAAATAGAATGGTTGCTGTAGAAGACTTCTTTTTTCTTTGAAAAAGAGAACAAGCTGTTAAAACTTTTATAGAGAAGCAATGAACTCCCACACAGACTGTGCATGTACACATGCAATAAATTCACTTTTTTTCTGCCACTTTTCTGTGTGTATACTTAAACATTTACCTTTACAAAAGAAAACTAGATGATTGGATCAAAAAGATGCAAGGTGTATACACACACACACACACACATACATAAACACAATGGAATACTATTCTACAATCAAAAAAGATAAACTCATGCCATTCACAGCAACATGGATGGTGCTGGAAGGGATCATGCTCAGTGAAATAAGTCAGAAGGAAAAAGAAAAATACTGAATGGTTTTATTTAGGAGGAATTTAAGAGAACCAAATAAGATGGGAGGGAAAAGTGTATTATTATTACAATACAAAACACAACATAACAATATTAAAACAAACATGATTATAAGCCAGAGATCCTAGAGGGAGGGGGACAGAGAGGGATCAGAAGGAAGGAGGAATGTGGGAGGCTATGGTAATGATGGAAGGGGGAGGAGGGAAGTCAACATTGTTATAAAATGAAAAACAATGTAAATAGAATAATATAAAAATAACCTCCCTGGGGACATAATAAAAAAAATTACTGTTGTTGAATGATTTTAAAAAAAATAAAAAACGAAACCTCATCAAACTTTGAAGCAAACTTTTAAGAGCTGACAGAACATTGAGAGGTGGATGGGGAGGGATGAAAATGGGACTGGAGAGAGGAAGGAGGACGAGCCCAGTGGACTGCGGGAGAGGATGATGGGTGCTTTGGTGGCAAGACAGCTATGATGACCACAACTGAGATGAGAAATCCTGTGCTAATTAAGGATGTGGGGGAAATGGTACTTAGTTTTATGTAGGTATTGTGGCTGAGCAAGCACTAGGGCCTCGTCCTGAATCCCCATCCTAGGTCTTTTTACTAGTGTACGTATTATTTATATTCCTTTGTAACTGTTAAGCTACTTCCTTAAAGATATTTTTTACAAATACCTTGGTTATCTTAATTTCTTAGGAGTTCAAACATAGTATACTTACTATTCTTAAGTTGATGAAATATTCCCAGAAGGCCAGTTAACATATTTAGAATGTAGAGAAGTATGAGGCATAATTAGGGTAAATTGATGTCTTTCTAAATTTCAGAAATTATTTGGACTTAACCTGGAATGTTAACTGTTTCACACCATTGCGATAAAACGATTCACTGTGGCCTGAAAAACAAGGCGTGCCCTTCCACGCCCTATGAAAACCTGGGTACTGAAGCCCCCTGTACTTTTTTGTTCTTTAGCCCCCCTGATAAGAATTTTAACTAAAACATCATGGATGCAGCCTTTTGAGAAGAAAACTACTGGTAGATGATGTGTTTCAGATTAGTGATTTAAAAGCTTCTCGTTTGTGTGATGAGCATATTCATTGAAAGAACTGGGTGGTGAGAGCAATCTTTTTACTGCACCAGCAAAGGGAGAGAAAACAACCTTTATGTATTTTCGCATTTTTGTTTTACAAAACTATGTCCTTAATTTGTTTTACAAATTTTGTAAAAATTTGTTTGTTTTACAAACCTAAGTCCTTAAATTGTTTATAGTGAAAAAATTATTTTTCATAAAAATAGGTTGCTTCTCTTTTTTTGATTTTTCTCATGTTTCTATTTCTCTAATAAATCACAGCTCCATGATGAGAACTGCCCTTTGGCAAATGTCATCTGTGAATACTGCAATACCATGCTCATCAGAGAACAGGTATGATCCCCTCTTATAAGTTAACATTTACACAAATAAAAGAATTAGATTTTTAGCTGAAATTTTAAATCAGTAAAGCAAAGTAAATGAGTTTAAGACGTATTAGTACTCTGTGACTATTTTTCATGTACACTAGTGAATACTTTCAGAAAACAAAATATTCAATCCCTTTCTAAATACTTAAAGTGCCTAAGTCATTAACATCACACCTGTGTTTAAAGTATTTATAAAAATTTGAAACAAAACAGGTAATTCTAAGGTAAAAATTACCAAAAATCCCCACTTAAAAGAAAAAAGTTCTTCGACAGGTCTATATGTACACACTGTGAAATAAAGATCTCAGGTGACCAGAGACAGCTAGAGGAGTAAAGAACAGTGGAACTGAAGAGTTGAACAGAGGAATTCTGTTCAGTAACTAGAACACCGTTTGTAGTTCTTGCTCCTGACTTTGGGGAGTTGAGCCACTCAAGTCACTTGTCCAATCGGCCACTGGTAGGGTGTCATCAGAAGTAGTGCATTTTTTTAATAGAGAAAGGAAAATTCCATCTGATTGTTATCTTTTGACATTTGGGGAGTTTACCCACAAAATTAGAATATTAGTCACTAAATATTTATATACCCATGAACTCTGCAGACTCAGAGATCATAATTAATCCCCTAAGTCAGAAGCAAACAAAACCTCTAACTCAAACTTTTCCATTTGTCTGTTAATAGAGTCCTTTAGTTTCTTTCCAACAAAGCTTTAGTTCGAAAGTGTTAAACTTCTTTCTGTTTATAAAGTCTCACCTCTCTGGTTTTCTTTTTTGCCCTATTTTAATATTTAAAGAAAACTATGTAGAACATTTAAAACCCAGCAGAGTTAATGTAGGAAAACACCTTGGTTAAGAGGCACAGAACCTAGGTTTCAATCCTGGCACTGCCATCGGTATACACCACCATCTCTGACAAGAAGTCAACATTCTGGGTTAGGGGTTGACGAATCAGCCCACTAGCTGGAGTTGGCCCCATCTGTTTCTGTAAATGTTCCATTGGAATACAGCATATGCCTGCATGTCTATGTGGTGTTTATGGCTGGTTTTGTGCCACCCTGGTAAGAGTTGAATACTGGGGCGAGCCCATAAGGCCCCCAAAGTGAAAATTTGTCGTTGGCAAAGTATTTTGCTGGCCATTGTCCTTGATTATGTAAAATCAGGGATTGGAAAAGTGTTAAGGTCATTTCTACTTTAATTACCTTTACTATATGAGTCTAAAAGGAATTTGTCACCACTTTTGAAGAATTCACCTTAAGAATGTTTTAGAGTCCCCAGATTAAAGGGCCTTAAAATTTACTTTCTAAAAGTCTGAGTCTGTCTAGCATAGCCAGAAGATGCTGAGATTAATAAAAAGTAAGTTTTATGAAAGGTGGTCAAGAAGGAAATAGTGGCTATTACTCTAGATCATTAACTGGTCTTTTCCTGTTAAGTGGCCTGGACCACACCTGGTTTAATTTATAAATGAAGTTGACATCAGAAAGTACCTTTTCTCTAAAATGCCACTAGAGGGTGCCAAGTCTCAGCAATAGAAATTTTATTTTCTTGAATTGAGTGATTTGGAGGTTATTTCCTTTCATTATGAGTTTGGAACTAAGTATTTTAATCTTTGTAGACTATACAGTTTTTGTTGCAACTGCTCAACTCTGCCATTGCAATACAAAAGCCACCACAGAAAATACCCAGTTTGTGTAAATGAAATAGGAAATCTTCCTTTCAAGTGTGACTTCCTCAAACCAGAGCATGATATGCAGAGAAAAAAAATTCTCAACCATTGTTTTTTTTTCAGATGCCTAATCATTTTGACTTAGATTGTCCTACTGCCCCGATTCCATGCACATTCAGTATTTTTGGTTGCCATGAAAAGGTAAGGGATTATTTTTCTTCTAACAACTTACATGCTTTTTGCTTTTAAGATTGATTTATTTATGCTTACAAGAACCAGGGTACAGGCCAGAGGTGTTGGGGGGGGGGGGGAGAGGACTCACCAGAGACAGAGCAGAGACCAGAGCAGGAGGCTGACTGACCAAAAACTGCAGAGGGGAGCAGCAGGTAAGGCAGGAGGGGTCTGCTGTGTCATGTGGGCAGCTCCCTGGCCTGGGATCGGACCCATGCTGCAGTGTCTGGACAGTTTACAGCGCTGTACTCCAGCCCCTTGTGCTACCAGGGAGGCACCCCAACTTGCATGCCTTTAGAATTGTTTATGTTGTGGGTGTTTTTTGCATGTAATAGTAAGATGTTCTTGATAAGAAGAGTATGAAGATAGGAAAATGGGAGAAAATGGTATTAGCTAGAGGTGGTCTGGGGAAGAGGAGATTCATCTTTGAGCCAGAAGAGGATGGGTGTAGATCCTAAGATGTTTATGAGGCAGAGGGGATTTGTCTGAGAAAACCCAGGACTCAGCAGACAGCTTCAGCTTGTCTTCAACTTGAGATGCAAGATCATCTCATTGGGTTGAGACTCTTGGGGGGTTGGGGGGAGTGACTGAAGAAAATCATGACATTTCTTAGAACACTGACTGGGCTGGGCCAGGGTCCCTCTCCTAGCTCTCAGTGTTTCTCTGGCCTGAGGCTCATGCTTGATTTTCAGATGCAGAGGAATCACTTGGCACGCCACCTCCAGGAGCATACCCAGTCGCACATGAGAATGATGGCCCAAGCTGTTCAGAATTTAAGCCTTAATATAGCTCCCGTGCATCAACGTGAAATGCTTCCATATGATTCTTCCTCGGCATCCCGGGTACCCTCTGTGTGTCACGCAGAGGTCCAGAATTTCCAAGAAACCATTCAGCAGCTAGAGGGTCGCCTTGTAAGACAAGACCATCAAATCCGAGAGCTCATTGCTAAAATGGAAACTCAGAGCATGTATGTCAGTGAGCTCAAAAGAACTATTCGAACCCTTGAGGACAAAGTTGCTGAAATAGAAGCACAGCAGTGCAATGGGATTTACATCTGGAAGATTGGCAACTTTGGGATGTACTTGAAATCTCAAGAAGAGGAGAAGCCTGTTGTCATTCATAGCCCTGGATTCTACACAGGCAAGCCTGGGTACAAACTGTGCATGCGCCTGCACCTTCAGTTACCCACTGCCCAGCGATGTGCCAACTATATATCTCTCTTTGTCCACACCATGCAGGGGGAATATGACAGCCACCTTCCATGGCCCTTCCAGGGCACAATACGCCTTACAATTCTTGATCAGTCAGAAACTCCTGTAAGGCAAAATCACGAAGAGATAATGGATGCCAAACCAGAGCTGCTTGCCTTCCAGAGACCCACTATCACACGGAACCCGAAAGGTTTCGGCTATGTGACTTTTATGCACCTGGAGGCCCTGAGACAGAGAACCTTCATTAAGGATGATACGTTACTAGTGCGATGTGAGGTCTCTACCCGCTTCGACATGGGTAGTCTTCGGAGGGAGGGTTTTCAGCCGCGAAGTACTGATGGGGGCGGGATATAGCATCCCTTCACTTGTTTGAAAAGCCCGCAGCAAAATCCCTCTGGAACAAACAGTACCTCCCCTGCCTTGTTCTCAGTAATAATAATGCAAACAGAAAAAGCAGTGGGAAGGACGTAACTCCTACCAATGAATGTCAGGTAGCTTACCACTTCTTGTTTTAAATATCTGAGGCAGTTTTTTCCTTGGGACTCTACATGCTCCATACTTTTTCCAAAATTGCCCCCCACCGAAGTGCCTGTGGCATACTGCAGCAGCTGTCGGTCAGTCAGTTCACCTCTTCAGCAGACTTTCCCCAGCTTTTGGCTCCAGTGTGTGTCATTGTGGAAAAAGCCAGGGTAGGAGTAGTAAAAAGTCCATTTCATAGTAATGGACATTCTTAAAACTTCATCTTATTTTTATAATAGATATAATATATGAAACATGAGAATCACTACTGCCTCGTGCTGGTGCCAGTGAGAAGAGTTATTACTCTAGAGTTGAGTTCTCATTTTATTTGACTGCCTATAAATTTCAGAGGATTTGAACCTTAATCCTTGGAAAGCTTAAGTTCTCATTCTCCCCAGGGGTATTACTAAGGATATTCAGGGACTGGGTAAAGCCCTAAATATAATTTACCTATTTAGTGTGATCATGTCTGTCTTGTTTAAGTATTTTATTGAGCCAGTGTCCTTCCTTGAGGCTACAAAGTAGCATCTTCTCCAGGATTTAGAATGCTGAGAACTGTGTGGCTACCAACAGCTCAGTGTTATAAATCCCCTCTTGTCTATCCAGTGGAAAGAGTTCCACAGCCCTGCACCTGTTCTTTGCTGCTGAATGCTTCTGGGAGGAGCAGAGCACACATCAGCAACATGAAAATTAAAAATGACTCCACTAGGCAACCAAGGTGGCATCTCTTTAGTGGTGATAAAAGCTGTGTGAGCCAAACATTTTTAACTCTCTCAAACATGCTCTAGTTCAAATAAATTGAGCAAAAATCAATATCCTTAAAGCACAATTTCTTAATACTCAGAAATGTTCTTAATATTTGGTAAATATCTCAGAGGTCACCAAACACGTTGGAAGACATAGCAGTGTGAAGACTCAGCTTCACTTGATTGCTTTACTTCAACAGAACCTAGCAGGTTCTGAGGAAAGGCCTGTGGAATGTATTGAAATGACTGTGTACTCCTCAAAAGGAGAGAGAACTTTTGTACCTTTTGCTATTTGGTAATCTTAGAGATGTTAAACAGTGTGGTAAAGTCTAGTTCTCAGGGAGTCCTGCAACTGCATAGGCTCATTATAGGCATCCAGGAGAACCGGTACACTGTGCTGTTTAGCAAGACTGTGAGTTGTCTGCTCACCAGAGATATTTATCCACAGAGGGGCCAAATTGAAGATCCTGACAAATGATCAAGACCAGCCTTCATTTCAAGAGGAAGCCAGAAGGATGGTTTCAGTTCCAGGCAGAGCCAGCAATGTCATTTTGACTTTTCTCTCCCTCCCTCGACCACATTTAGACTCATCCTCTGGTGGGCTTGTTTTGAAGTGAAAACAAAGATCATGCAGAGATCCTGTTCCCCAGTGCCACCAGCAGCACCATGTGCTGGCCCTAGTTCCGCCTTGGCTTCCTGGCAGTCTGGGCCATGGCTACTAGGCTCCCCGGCTGGCCCCAGCATCACCGCAGCACCACCCACTAGGTGGGGGACCTGCCCCCCCCATTCTTGTGATTGTTTAACAATAAAATTATTGTCAGTTCCAATTAAAAAGTAAAGGGTAGTTATTTTTGTATTTGTATAGAAAAAGCCTTTAAGAAAAATACACTATTTTTGATGACTGGCTTTCTTCATTGTCTGTTCTTACATGTTTTACTACAAGGCACCGTGTACATTTATCAGGAAAAAGAAAACATTAAATGTTCCCACAGAAAACATTCACCCCCACCAAAAAAGGAAACGATCTTGAAAGCTTCCTGGTCCAATTTCTATTAAAAGCATAGCTCTACATTAGGTACAGAGCAAGTCATTTCCTGTCTTTGGTGGTTTTTTTTTTTTTTTGCCCCCTACCAACTCTGGAGGCTTCATCTAAACAACATTTATGTTCTGACTTCACTTCTCTTGGCTTCAGGTTCTCTCCAAGGAATTAAGTTCTAACCGGTAGAATGTTAACAATACTTAAGGATTCTGCCAGTAGCAAATTGCTTGAGCAATTTTTTGCTGACATACTTCACTCAGCTGGGTCACATTGTAATTCAAATAAGCAAAATTTTAAACCCCCAACATTTGGCATTTGGGAAGTTGTCATAAGCCAGCCATCGATCTTAGACTGGCTGCTTGTTGTGAATACAGACTGAAACGAAAGGTTGCACCCATTCCAAATACAAAGCTGTCTGTCCTCATATTTTTCAAGTCTCCTCACCTACTCAGACATGCTAGTTTCACCCAATTGAACTTCATGTATTTGGGCCACATATTTATTAACCTTTTCACATACTTATCTTTTGACATCAGCCTGAGACACTGCTAAATTAAAAATAGTTTCCTTTTGTTCCCCAGAGGTGTCTGATTCCATGTTGGATGAAACTTGGCTGTGAGCCATCTATTTGCCTGTTGGGAAACAAGTCAGAATGCTGAATTGAGCTTCGTTTCTTTTACCATCTCTTGGCTAGTGCAGCAACGCCATTTTCTGGCTGGACTCCAGATGACTCAACTTCTATTTAGGGGATGAATAGAAAAATGAAATACACTGAGAGGCGAGTTTCCCCTGATGATGAACTAAAACAGAGTTGTTGGATGATCTCTAGCAATTCGTTTTTGTGGCAAGTATAAAGTGAAATGCGTTACTCTTTTTATATCAGCGATGTTTGGATAAACTAAGGGCATGTCTGTGAATTATGCATACAAGTAGAATACAGTCTTAATTGGAATACAGTCTTCTTAAAGAGAACAGTTGCTTGTGCCCTTTTATCCAGAAAACATTCTTAGTTAATAGTGATGTTTTTCTAAGACTAAAATACTTTTATTCAGCTAATGCTGTTCTTTTCTTTCAACTCCCACTGTTTTTGTACCGCTAGGTCTTTTTTTGTGGGGTCTAGTTCCGTAGTTCTGTAGAACTGAAGCAGCATAATGATTTAGGAAATCATAAAGGGACAATACATGGCTTGTAATTTTTATGTGCATTTTTTAAAATCCCCACGTTTACATAAGCCAGGTTTAGTTTCACAGTTGTGTCCATTGCGTCTGTGGAGGAGGGTTGGTGCTTCCAGATGCTCAGTAGTAGAAAGCTGATAACCTGCTGAAATCAAATTAGAGGGATCCCTGAGATTGTAGGAGTGACTGCCTTCACTTTCAGTCAGACACACTTGCAAAGATGCTTTGCTGAAGAGCACCTAAACCTTACATGTTTTTGTATTTTGATCCTCACAGCAAGTTCAGGTGGTTGTAAAGTTACAAAAGCCTGAAAAATAGTTGTAGCGAGGGAAGAGGTTTTATGAAGTGAGATGTGTTGCTCCTTTCCTCAGAGTGGTTTCTCAGTAGAACCCTTACCCTCTGGGGGTTTGAGGAGGTGGGCTGGTCCCTGCTCTCCAGGCTTGAGACTGATTGTGGGTGCAAATCCTATGCTGGAAAGTTCTGTGCACACCCGCAAGGTTGCTGTTGCTCCTGCCAAGCCACTTCTCTGAATAGAACTTCCTGTCAGTGGAGTGCCCTTGCCTCTTCTGGCTAATTACGTTTATCCCAACATTCATTCCCAGGCAGATTCCAGTGTCAAAGTTTCTGTCAAGAGGTCCTCTGTGTTCTCCAGGTGATTTCTGATTAGAGGTGCTACATGATTAAACTGAGGGAGGGTGAATTAGCAGAGTTCCTGGACACAGCATCCCCATGGTTCACAGTAAGCCTTTAATCAAAGTGCTAGTTGAAGCTTACCAACTTCTCTTAGGTTATTTGCAAGTTTCAGGTGGTAAGGCCTAGTTGTTAGCTTCCAGCCCCACCCCCTCTTTCCCTTTGCACCGCATTAAGAAACTTTTCCAACAGGCAAAATGTTAAACTAATTGTAGAGCGAACATCTACCACATAGAAGCTACAAATAACATGCTACATTTGCTATATGAATGTTGTTTTGAATGAAACTTCAGGTTTGTTATTTCTCTTCAAAACATCATTGTTGAGATAATTGAGTTGTATTAATTGAGTTATGAATCGTCTTAAACTCTGGGGAGATTTGTGATACTTGTAACTGGAATTGTAGTCCTCAAATTCAGCTAGTTGTACACTTGTTAATCTGTTATGCTGAATTTCAATCATTTATTTTGCCTGAAGGGATTTTTTTAAACGAACTTACTTCAGTCTTTGATCAACTGTGCAGAATATTCTAATGTTACTTTCACACTTGATAAGTTATTCAATTAATTTCTTTGGTGAGATTGTAATTTGGGGCCCATTTAGTTTATAGAAAATTCCAGGATTATTTCCCCAGAGTACTGAAAAGACAGTGTCACTTAACTAAATTGGAAGCTAAAAAAATAAGATTCTATTGACTGGCCATGGGCAAATCAGTTCACTTTGTGCCTGACTACCTGCGAAGTGAGAACTGGACTTGAAAATGTGAGTTTTATTGAGTACTGGGTACCATTGATTAATGCTTTGATCTTTCAAGGACACTCTATGAATCAGGGAGCTGGGGTGGGGGATGTTAGAATTCTATAACTGTATGACAGTGAACAGAAATCTGACTTGAAAAATTGAAGCAGATGCAATGGTCAAAGGGTCTTAGCTAAAAACCTGAGAGAACTTACTACCATCATAAATTTGTAAGCAGTTTCCCTAATTCATCTGGGCTCTGAAAATAATGTGGTTTGTGAGGAGTAAATGCTGACATAGGAGGAGAGGATGGAATCACAGAAAGACTGAAAATCAGCCTTCAGTTTCAGAGAAGGCAGCAAGGATTAAAGGAATCATCCAGATACATTGCAACACATCTTTTCCTACGGATAGGTCCACCCCTCCCCCCATCACAACACACAACACAGAAAACAAAGTCTGTTCCTGCCAGCAGCTTGGCCCTAGATGGTTTCCATCAGCTAAATACAATTGCAGGGTTAACAGAGCATAAGCATGTCTGTACTCCACTCAATAGATGAGTGTGATTGGTTGTTTCTCAGCTGAGGTCACCAGTCTAGATTCATAGTCCTCTGAGAAAAGCACCTGGAGTGTTTACTTTAGATGAAGTCCTAGTAGCTGTTACAAGGGTATGACTAAACAGGGAAAACATATTCCAGGTGTTCTTTAAATAAAATTCTTAGGCTGCTTTGATTTTTGCTTTATCTTTGTTCTGTTTTGGAGACAGTATGACTCACTGTTGTGGGAGACAAGAAAGATCCCAAGTACCTGAAATAAAATTAACTCTTCCTCTTTCAGAAATGGTAAGTGGGGACATATCGCAGCCCTTGCTTCAGGAGTGGTTTTTGCCCTACGGCCTCTAACACATCATTTTGGGGGACAGTTTGGCTCAAAGTGAGAGGAACTGAACAGATGCATAGCAAGCATGGAGCCAGTTAACAGTGTGAACTTACCCTCACGGATGAGGTTCTCTCCGGGTCCAGGGCCGTAGCTAGCCTGCCTCTCTCTTAGCCAACTCCTTGGCTGGGCTTGCAAGTAGTGGCTGTCCATCTGGTGAGGCAATTCAGAGCCTTTTTAGGATCAACCCTGGTCATTCAAAATTAAACTTCACTTCTCTAAGTTTGATATAAAAGCTGGTAAAACATGCAAATACTTTACAAAACATCACCCTAAATTTTAAAGTTCCGAACAGTAGTCATTAGCCTCAAAATAAGTCATGAACATGATTTTATAAATATCCCACCTGTACTTCGGATTCATCTCTCGACACTCACCTCCTGCTTTCCTGGGGGGACCGGGAGGGGTGGGCTCCTTTGTAAAGTCACTGTCTCAGTCTCATCAGCAGAGGATGCATAAGTGCAAATTTTGCTTGGCCTGGCTAGAAGTGATTACAAAACTGAGTCTGTGAATCTAATTGTCACAATATCTATACCCTTGCAAGCCAAATAATAACATCACACAGAAATGTAGATCCCAAAATTCTGGGAAAAACTTCCCATCCTCCCTACACCTTTCCGCTCGCCACTCTAGCCTGGATGGCAGAAGCGGGTTTTATAAACGAGAGGCCGCTCTCCCACCTGTGACTACACAGGTGTTTCTTTTCACAGAATTTCTCTTTGCAAAACAGCAGTTGCGGCTCTCCCGCTGTCTGTGATGGTGCAGTTGCCTCTTTCTCCTTTTCCTATCAACCCGTCCTTTTAAATGTAAAAGGAGAATCCCTGTCCAACGAGGTTGGCTTCTTTGTCTATTTAATGCCAAGTTCATTTCTGCCCCCTTGGTCATTGAACTTGAGGCGTCCACACAAATTAGATCGAGTCCCACCCAAAGTGCTTGATGGTATCCGTTCCCTCTAGAACAGCTGGGAGCCCGAAAGTGAAATTTATTTTAAGTTGGATACTCCTTGAGAACCACTATGAAAGAAGAAAAAGAAGGAAAGAAAGATTTCTGAATATGACGAGGCTAAAAGAGCCTAATTTTGACTTTTAAAAAATGCCTGTAGGGCCATTGTTTTCCAGTCATTTTCTTTAATAACCTCAGTAAATAAGATGGATCAATAGATTTGAAAGATGATGATGATGACGTTAGGTGGTTAGGTAGGCAGATGGATGGATGGAGATGAATAGCATTATACCTTCTCAATTAAAAATTTTTCTGAAACACTTGC